ATGATGCCGGTAGTTTGCGTTCGATTGGCGAGGAAAGAATAATCAACGTTTTGTTTATAAAAGTTGATAGTACCTTTTCAATTGTTGGTCTACAATATACTGAATTGGTTCCGCTTTTTGATAGATCAAAATTCTATCCGCCAGACCTCGCGCCAGACTATGAATATAGCGACTATACGTACCACATGCATTTCAATTTAGGATGACAATCATTCTACAGAGAGCTTTCGCTTTCGCTTCTGCTGTCAATGTTTATGCTGTACTCGAAAGGAGCATAATCTGATTTAAAAACAACCGTCATCCGGTTGTGGCTATCACTCGCAAAAGCGATTTCGATATTTCGATAGGAATGGTCGAATGATTCATACGAACAGGCGATGATGTTTTCGTACAGTGTTTGGGGGGTGGGGGAAAGCCACTCTCTTTTCATCTGAGCTGGATTCACCTGGCTCTATGATCCCATCATCCTGTGCTGAGCTTTATTATCGTGTTTTACGTGACGAATACATTTTTTATTGCAGTGAATTGAATTCCGAGATCTTCCGAGAATCATCAAAATAAGCCATTTGTTCTCATAGCGCACCCTGGATCGGATTCATTATTTTCTAGTACCCACCCCCTTCATAGACAAAGTCCTTCCCTTTTCAGACAACAGTTTTGTTGACAAACAATCCCGACCAAAAGCCCTCGAGGGACGCTCCGTCGTCGGACGACCGGAGCATGTACACGCTTTTTCAAAACTACACACTTAGAAATACCTAATCTTACACGTGACGGAATCCATCTTTGACATAAAGGATGAGACGTAAACAAACATGTCATGTAAAATTAAGTGCTCCGAGACTGAAAAGTTCGAAAGTACGTTTGATTGAGCTGAATTTCACGTCTATTATGACTCAATTTTATGTCAAAATTGACGCTCGTATATGTCAGTCTCAGAGCACCTAAATTTACATCAATTTTTCTAAGTGTGTACACAAATTCAGTCAACACTGGGCCTACCCAAAAAATGGGTAACTTAGGCTCTGAACCATTTGATTGATTATTTTAACTTTTGGTTTGAATTTGACAGATGGAAATTTATCGATTAACCCTAAGAGGAAGAGGTGACAATTGGCTTCTTCCTCTTTTATTTCTATCTCTATCCCTATCTTTGTCCATATCTATCTCTATCTTACGCACATGAAATCAGCCAATCAGGAGCTGGTTCACGTTTGACAGAAAAGTGGTTCATTTTCGCCCCCGTATTGTCATCTCTTCTCTTAGGATTAACCCTGCTATCCGAGCGTCTGACAGACAAGAAGTTAAATTTTGACAACCTTGGCTAATTTCTTCTCGAAAACCGGTCGATCGACAGCACAGGGATTTTCGAACATAGAAAATAACTTTCGAAATGTCACTTTTAACAACGAGTTAAATTTAACTTGGCAAATAGACGAGTGCACGGGTGAACTTTAGTTCATCTACTGAAAAAAAAATTACACAACAGTGGGGCCCTGTTTACTAAAAATGAACACATGAATAATGCTCGCGTAACATTTGAAAAGGGCCTATCAACTTTTATAAACAACTTTCTATGTCCTTTTCACGAGAACCGAAGTATGCCCATGCAAACCAAGAGCACTATCAGGAAGGGGAAAATTTCTCCTACCCGATTGTGTTGTTAGTTTGCGTGGGCGTATTCGGTTCGCACGAAAAGAGCTTAACAAGTTTTGTGTACAAAAGTTGATAGGCCCGTTTTAAATGTTACGTGAGTATTATTCATGTGTTCATTTTTAGTAAACATGGCCCCGCTGTTGTGTCACTTTTTGTGGAGTGAGTGAACTCAAATCCATCCGTGCACTCGTCTATGGTTCACAGCCTTAGTTGGGAGTGACAAGCTGACAAATGAACATCATCGATCGGATGACCGATCACCGCCAGCGTTAACCTCAATCGGATGACAGTTCAGTGGTACTGTTTACGTGGACTTGGTCGATTTGTTCTTGGGTAGCTTTTCTCGATGTAAACCACTCTTCAGGAAATTTTTAAATATATTTCGAAATGCTTGTAAACAGTCCCACTCAACTGTCAAAAATGTCATCCGATGAACACTGAGTTCATTTGTGACGTCACACTGCAGTACCTAATACCTAGTAACCTAATACCAATTATTGACCAATGCACGAAATGAACTCACGAAAAACGTTTGAGTGGGGCAGTGTTTACTACAAATGAACACATGACGAAATGCTTGCCTAACTTTAGAAAACGGTCTATCAAGTTTTAGAAACTACTTGTGAAGCCTTTCATCGGGTAGGACATATTCTCCCCTTTTCGATAGTGCTCTTGTTTTGCGTGGGCGTTTTTCGGTTTGCGTGAAAACCCTAATAAAAATAACCACAAAAGAGAGCTTAACGACGTGTTCGGGATATCATCCAAACCATTTGTGGGATAGTTTACCCATCCGGTATAAAGTTCGTTTATGGTATTTATTTATTAGGGAAGGGCCTAACAAGTTGTTTATTAAAGTTGACAGGCCCTTTTCTAAAGTTACGCGAGCATTGACGAGTGCACGGATGGATTTGAGTTCACTCACTCGACAAAAAGTGACACAACAGCGGGGCCCTGTTTACTAAAAATGAACACATATGTGTTCATTTTTAGTAAACAGGGCCCCGCTGTTGTGTCACTTTTTTGCCGAGTGAGTGAACTCAAATCCATCCGTGCACTCGTCAATTACGTCATGTGTTCATTTTTAGTAAACACGGTACCGCTCAAAGGTCACATTTTTGTGAGTTCATTCCGTGCATTAGGTTCTGCGGCGTTACGTCACGAATGAACTCAGTGTTAATCGGCTGAACCTTTTTGACAGAGCAACTGTTTACAAGCACTAAATTAAAAATATTTTAAAATTTCCGAATTTTAACTTGTAAATTGTCGAGAAACAACGTGGTGAAAGAATTTTGCTCGTGGACAATGCAGAAGTGTGGTTTACATCTCACTGCACACTGAAAAATTATCGAGAAAATCTAGCCAAGAAAAAATGACTAAGGCTGTGAACCATCCCCTAATAAAAAATTACCATAAACGAACGATAACCCAAATCATTGAACTATTCCACGAATGGTTTGGATGATACCTTGAACACGTCGTTAAGCCAATTAACCATAACATTTTTATTAGGGTCTGCCGAGTTAAATTTAACTCGTGGTTAAAAGTGACATTTCGAAAGTTATTTTCTATGTTCGAAAATCCCTGTGCTGTTGATCGACCGGTTTTCGAGAAGAACTTAGCCAAGGTTGTCAAAATTTAACGTCTTGTCTGTCAGAAGTAACCACGCTCGGATAGCAGGGTTAATCGATAACTTTCCATCTGTCAAATTTAAACCAAAAGTTAAAATATTCCACTAAGGCTCTGAACCATTTGTTGAATTTTAACTTTTGGTTAAAATTTGACAGATGGAAAGTTATCGATTAACCCTGCTATCCGAGCGTGGTTATTTCTGACAGATTGATCGACAACACAGAGATTTTCAAACATTGAGAATAACTTTCGAAATGTCACTTTTAACCAGGGGTCTGGCTGGCGGCCATGTTTTTGATGCTTTCATCTGCTCTTGTCTGTCTGCTCACAACACGATTTTGCGTCCCTTTCCTTCATGTGTACGTCAGGCGGGCCGTATTTAAAGAAGGCCCGTGATCTTGCCTACTGTCAAACGTATAGGATTGATATGGGTTGCCAGTCTCCTGCTTTTAACCACGAGTTAAATTTAACTCGGCAAATGGTTCACAGCCTAAATGGTTCAGAGCCTAAGGCTGTGAACCATTTGCTGAGTTAAATTTAACTCGTGGTTAAAAGTGACACATCGAAAGTTATTATCGATGTTCGAAAATCCCCGTGCTGTTGATCGACCGGTTTTCGAGCCACGGTTGTCAAAATTTAACTTCTTGTCTTTAATCGATAACATTTCATCTGTCAAATTTTAACCAAAAGTTAAAAAATTCGCCAATTGGTTCAGAGCCTAAGCCCACGTAAATAGTACCACCATAGAGGTAACTCTAAGACTAGAAGGTCCCGAAATAACGTGCTCAACTTTTTGGCTCAGCTCTGGTACTCTCTTCGGTCTAATCTAGCTAATCGATTCACCCCTCGAAACATAGGAAAAACCAATAACCCCTCATTTTATCTGTCAAACTTTCATAGCGAATCAAAACAAACATTTCGTAGTACTAGAATTTCGACTAGAATAGGGTACGTTAATCGTTTGCTTGGGACCAATAGGCTACTAAAGTGGTGAGCCAATTTAAAATCGTTAGTTTCGTATTGATTGTTGGTACCACTGAACTGTCATGAGATTGAGGTTAACCCCGACGGTGCAAAACCTAATTGGTCAAATGTCCATTTGTCAACGTGTCACTTCCAACTTAGTTTACCCATTGTTGGGTAGGTTAAGTTTTGACCAATCTGGGTGGATCGCACGCAAATTTGCGTAGTTTAGAAATAGCGTGCAGGCTTGGATGTCTTGTCTTTGTCTTGTCTTGTTAGTTTGACTCAAGTGCCAACCGCGCACCATCGTGCTTTATACGTAGTAAAAACAACAATTGCGGTCGCTTTCGTATCCCTCGCTGTCGCAACTGGCGACAAGCGATGATGGCACCGACAACGCCGTCGAAGGTGGTTTCAAGGCTGCCAGGGAAAAAAGCGTCTTTCGTGAGGTGGCTCCCATTTTCACACTCGAGTGTTCCCCGCGCTAGAAAGGAAATGTTTTGGTTCACCGAATCCGGGCGAAGCGCAAACAGCACCATTCAAATTCCAGAGAGGGAAAGAGTCACTTTTGTAATCATACCCTAAGTAGACGCAGTCAGTTGCTTTTATCGCAATGGGAAATCGGTGTGACATGTATGTCGGTTGGTGCTTTGGGGCGCAATTTTTCCCCATTGTTTATAGCAATCATGAAAAGTAGTAACGAAGCACTTTTCTCCTTCTTATTGTTCTTTTTCTTCCCCTTTCCTTTGCAGATGGCGACTCCAAGACGAGCTCCGTTGAGAAGAGGCACAATGGCAGCAAGGCAAGTGTGCGAGCTTGGTGTGTTTTGATTCTCTGTGGGGTTGGAATTGTTGTGTTTCTTAAGATTAGTTTATTTATTTTCCACCATATTTGGCATTAGAGTCACACAGGCTGATTAACGAGAAGTATTTCTATTCTTAAAAACTGGTCGCTAATTGACCTTTCTGGCGTTTATAACACCTATGGGTAAACCATCAGGGTTCTGAAACCAGCCACATAGGGTAAATTATGGCTTCGGCACCCATTGACTGTTTTCGGCAACCGAAATTGAAACGTTAATTTCACTGTATTTTCCCATCAAAACTCTTCGCTGAATGTATTAAGCCGATTCCTTACCTTTTCAGCTTCAATCTGATTACATTTTTACGACTGTGAATTCCTGTTATACCATATTTTTCTTTAAATGAAATATACATACTACAAAATACGGCTGATTTCGAGTTGCCGATAATAGAACAGCTGGTTAACACGCAGTTTAAATGGAAACGGTGCCGAAGAAAAAGAGACTGCCGACAATAGTCACTCTCACCTTAGAAGTTTGGAGCGTTGTAAAAACATGTTCAACCCGTTTTGATCAATTCTGTCGATTGGAATTAGTAGAACAGCAAGCAGCAGATAAATGTCAACAAACAAACCTGTCATGTATGTGTGTGACGCTGAGAAATCGCTAATAGAAGTTCGGACGCTGCTTAGATTGACGAGAATACGTAAATTCCCCTAATTGAATTCGATCTTATAACTTTTTATGGTGTGTTTTTGAAAATAACCGCAGAGTTTTGGGGTATCTCGGGTATCGGGTATCCCATCAGGGTCCATAGACCGGTCACATCATTGAATTAAATTCTATAACTTATCATCAAGTGTTGTCGAAAATAGCTGAAAAGTTCTAAGATCAGTTCAATGAACTGACCACTGTTATGGATGTTCCGTATCTTCCGAAGGATCACTTCAGGGACCTCAGGGTCCATAGCCAGACCACATAATTAAATTCGATATTATAACTTATTAACAAGTGTTTTCGAAAATAACCGCAGAGTTCTGGGATCAGTTCAAAGAACTGGCTACAATTACGGATATTCCACCTAGGGTACCTCAAGTCCATAGACTGGTCAAATCATTAAATTCGACATTATAACTTGTTGACGCAAATAACCGAAGAATTTTTGGATCAGTTCAATGATCTGTCCACTTTTACGTACATATGTTCCGGATCTTTCGGAGGACACCCTAGGGTACCCCAGGGTCCAAAGACCAGTCACATCATTGAATAAAATCTTATAACTTATGATTAATAGGTTCAAAGTGTTTTTATGTAATTTCATACACGAAGTTTGCGATTTTCAGAGTTGGTTGGAAATGCTATCTAACATGAAGCTTTAGTGTGATCATTTATTTGCTAGAGAATGATCTTAGAAGAGGGTAGGTAGATAGTTCCGATAGAGTACGGCAGTATGAAAATTGAATAGAAGTTGAAAATGAGGGGCTTTTTGTTGAAAATGAGAGGCTTTAGGTAGTGATGAAACGTCGCTAAAACTACCGCGCACAATTATTTCCTGTAGATTTGAAGAAATACTTCAAATCCCCGCGTACATCGTACGGGTTAGGCAAAGAGTGTGCGTTTGACTTGCACTGTCGCATTAATGGCCCTTCGCTAATTTTCAACTTCTATTCAATTTCCATACTGCCGTACTCTAATGGAACTATCTACATACCTTCTTCTAAGATCATTCTCTAGCTAATAAATTATCACACTAAAGCTTTATGTTAGATAGCATTTCCAACCAACTTTTATCATTGGTTTTGTAAATAACCGCAGAGTTCTGGGATCAGTTCATTGAACTGAACACTTTTACGGATGTTCCGGATCTTCCGGAAGACCCCCTCCGGTATTCCAGGATCCATTGACTGACCACATAATTGAATTCGATCTTTTAACTTGTCATTAAGTGTTGTCGAACATAACCGCAGAGCTCCATAGACCGACCACATAATTGAACTCGATCTGATAACTTATCAACAAGTGTTTTCGAAAATAACCGCAGAGTTCAAGAACCAGTTCTGTGAACTGATCACTTTTACGGATGACCCGAGTCTTTTGGAGGACCACTTCGGATATCCCAGGGTACATAGGCCGATCACACCATTGAATTCGATCTTACCCAGAAAACCATAAATCGTAAAAGAATGTTCAAATCAAGTCGTATATACGTATATAAACATTTCGGCTCGTGGCACAAAGCCTTGGTGGGATGCGTTGAGTTTCTTTTAGAACTTGCGTGTTTCTTGAGAACGATACAGTTGCTCCATTTCTTCGCACTCCAGCTCTTCCAGGCGGCGCTTCTTATCCCGGGAAATATGGGTTTGCTGTCTTTGCTTCTGTTTATATCGCTCCACATTATGACGGGTTCCTTGCTGCAGTATCGCCGCCCGCGCTGCGTTCTTCTCGTCCAAAACCGTCTGACACTCTTCGTCGAACCAATCGTTCCGTCGATTCCGCTCCACGAACCCAACGGTGCCTTCACGTTGCTCCAGCAGTCCTAAAGAGGGGCTTTGGTGAGCTCACCCTCATCCGGTAACGCTCCGTCGAGGCATTGCACGTACTCAGTTGCGATTTCGGGCAGCTTCAGTCGCCCCATATTGTACCGTGGCGGGCGTCGGTACCGAATGTTGTTGGCAACGGAGTTTTTGGCGCACCTTGACCATTAGAAGGTAGTGGTCCGAATCGATATTTGCGCCGCGATAGGTCCTGACGTCGATAATGTCCGAGAAGTGCCTTCCGTCGATCAAAACGTGGTAGATTTGCGATTCTGTCTGCTGCGGTGATCTCCAGGTGTACCGATATACCGTGCCGATTCAAATTTCGGACACTTAAACTCGAATTTCGGACACTTTTAAAAGTTGATTATCTCGGTCGAATATGATCCACATGTCTTGTAAATTTTAAATTTTTTTGACTAGTGCCCTCCACGATCATCTAACATTATTACTTTGTTTCTAACTGGATGTAATATTTAATTAAAAATGAAAGTGTCCGAAATTTGAATCGTCCGAAATTTGAATCGGAACGGTACACGCATATTAAATTAGAATTGCATATAACGGCAGCCAATATTGCATCAAGTTGTAAAAAGATTACATATAACGATTTTTTATGATTGAAATAAAACTTTTTTCCCTAGTTGCATAAATCACCGTATTTGTCCACCCGAAATCATATTGCGAGAAAGTTGATGAACATTACATATAGATACATTTGTTTTAAAAAATAAGTTGACGCGAATCCGCAAAAGTGGAACGTACAGTCGCTTGCTTCAAAAGCATAAAAAAAGGATCATCCCTCAGATTTCTCAAAATAATTCGGATAAAAATAACGATGTGGACCAACAGCATTATTCTAGTTCATCGATTTCTTCTTCTGCTTCTGTCACCTCTGAAGAATTTAATGAGGCCACGGAAGCTTTGGATAATGAAATAAATACTCACGGTATGGATGATTCGAAAGAAATTTTAGAAGATATAGTTGAAAATGAACGATACCAAGGTAAAACCAAATTTTACTAAAAGTAATTTAACGATTTAAAAAAAAAAAAACTGTACTTTCATTCTTAGGATCACTTCAATCTGAAATCCGGAAATGGGCTTCGCAATATCAAATATCACAAGCAGCTTTGAAATCGTTGATTGGTGTGCTCAATACTCACTTGCAGGTGGATCTACCAAAAGATCCCCGCACTTTTATGAGAACCCCTAGAACTTTGGAAATCATAACCATGAAAAACTATGGTAAATACTGGCACCATGGCTTGGAACGTGGCCTACAAAAGCGCTTGGAGCATGTTGCTGTGGATATGAATGTATCCCTTAACATTAACATTGATGGTCTTCCCATATATAAGAGCAGTGCCAATCATTTTTGGCCAATTCTTGTGAATATCCATGAGTTATCACACATTTCTCCAATCATCGTTGGTATTTACTATGGAGCAAGCAAACCAAAAGATGCCAATGAATTTTTATCTCCTTTCATCAATGAGCTTACATCAGTTCTTAATTCAGGTGTGATAATTAATACTCACAAAGTTTCCGTAAAAATTCGAGCGTTTATATGTGATTCTCCCGCTCGGGCCTTTATTAAGTGTGTAACAAACTATAACGGCAAGTTTGGATGCCTGAAGTGTACGACGAAAGGAAAATATTCCCATGAGACAAGAACCATGATCTTCCCAGAAGTGAATGCAGAGCTACGGACTAATCAAATGTTTCGAGAGAATAAATACCCAGAGCACCAACGTGCCGTGTCTCTACTTACGGAACTACCGATAGACATGATAGATGATGTCATTGTTGGAGATGCGTTACATTTATTAGAGTTAGGCATTATGCGGAAGCTGATTAATTCTTGGCGTACTGGATGCATGACGAAACGAGCGAAATGGAGCGCTTACGGAAAACAGGTTATCTCTGAATATTCGGTTGATTTAAGGTTCCCTGTAGAGATTCACCGACGTATGCGTTCGTTGGAACATATTTCACTTTGGAAAGGGTTGGAATATCGAATTTTTTTGAACTATGTAGGAGTTGTGCTTCTAAAAGATCATCTACCACCTAAGTATTATGAACATTTTTTATTATTGTTTTGCGCAGTCCGTATTTGTTCTGTGGAAAGATACAAATCATTTTTACCAATCGCGAGAATGCTCTTAATTGAATTTATAAATGATTACAAGATACTGTATGGTACGGAGTTTATCACAAGTAATGTACACAATCTTTGCCATATTGTAGACGAAGTGGAAAAATTTGCAACATTAATATCTCTTTCCGCATATACTTTCGAAAATTGCCTACATTCATTGAAAAAGCTGGTGAAACCCGGTCGTAATCCGTTAGCTCAAATAGCCAACCGAATAACAGAAGCTGAATGTAGTGAAAAATCATCAAAATTGCAGCATTTCTCCAAACTTACTTTAATCAATGTCATAAAAAATGAAAAAGTCTGTA